TTCCTTGACATGAAAGATATTAAAGCAGATCAGATACATGCAATGCTAACTATAAATGGAGCTGGGGAAATGAAAATCAGGATGAGGGTTAGATCCTTAATCATGGTGCTGCACATACTACAGTGGAACGCAAGAAGCCTCATAGCTAATGGTCAAGAATTCAAGAAATATATATATGATCTAGAGGTAGTCCCTGAGGTAATATGTGTGCAAGAAACCTGGTTACGACCTCAATTAGACTTTGTCATTCCAGGATTTAGCTGTATAAGGCATGATAGAGATAATAATCAAAATGGTGGAGGGTGTGCCACGTTTCTCAAAGATGGTGTGGCATATAGGGAGGTGCAATCTCCTGATGATATAGAGTGTATTATAGTGGAAATCTGCAACCCTAGGAAACAAGATAACATTAGGATAATCAATTTATACAACCCATGTAAAAATCTAACCACTGATATATTTAAAGAAATAGCAGGCAATAAACATAGGAAGGAAGTTTGGTGTGGTGATTTCAATGCACACAACAGTCTATGGGGCAGCAACCATACAGACAGTAACGGAAATATAGTGGAAGAAATGCTGGAGGAAAGAACACTAGTATGCCTTAATGATGGACATGGCACAAGAGTAGATGTACACAGGGGGAAAGTATCATGCCTGGATCTGACATTAGTGTCAAACTGTTTGGTTCATACATGCGAATGGTTTGTTTTGAATAAATCCACAGTAGGAAGTGACCATTATCCAGTGCTCACTAAAATGAATACTAATGTATATATACAGGAAGGAGGTGCAATAACCAGGTGGTGCTTTGCTAAAGCTGATTGGGGGAAATTTAGGATATGGTGTGAGGAGTCGGTACACCTGCTAACATCAGAGGGAAGCATAGAGGTCATTACAAGCCAAATAACGCAACATATTCTAAATGCAGCAGAGAACAGTATACCCAAAACAACAACCAAGGGTAGGAAGAAAGTGGTGCCATGGTGGAATGAGGAATGCAGCAGGGCTATTAAAGAGCGAAATAATGCATTTAGAGAATTAAAGAAAAACATGACACAAAATAATGTTATAGAGTTTCAAAGGAAAAGGGCAGCTGCTCGAAGGACAATCAAATACACAAAAAAAAGAACATGGAGAGAATTTTGTTCTACCATTGGCAGAGGAGTAAAATTAGGTGATGTCTGGTCCATGTTTAAGCGGATGAGTGGGAAAAGGAAATCCATTAAAATTCCAGCTTTGGTTGATGGGGAGAGGCTGGCAGTGACAGATAAAGAGAAGGCAGACATGTTAGGAAGGACACTTGCAGCAGTACATAGCGGGGAGCATCTCAGTGATATTCATAGGCAGCAAAAACAGCAGTTACTAGCAGAGAATGAAAACGTGAAGGAGAAGAGACAGGATAATAGGTCAGCTCTTGATGTGGAATTTACAATGTCAGAACTCAAAATAGCCTTACAAGGTACAGGTTATACAGCCCCAGGACAAGACCAGCTATGTTATGCTATGTTTAGACAGTTGCCTATGGAAACTATGACAATGGTGCTGAGTCTTTTCAATAAAATCTGGAGAGAAGGAGATATGCCAAGTTTGTGGAAAACAGCAGTCGTGCTACCATTCAATAAGCCAGGGAAAGATACAGCTAACCCTAGTAACTACAGACCAATAGCTCTTTTATCACACCTATGTAAATGGATGGAAAAGATCATTGTCCGTAGGCTCTCACATGTACTGGAGCAGAAAGGGCTGCTGAGTAGTTTTCAGAGCGGATTTCGTAAAGGGCGGTCCACAATAGATGCTTTAGTAAGAGTGAGTAATGATGTGGAAAAAACATTGAAAATGAAAGAGATAATGGCAATAGTGTACTTTGACATTGAAAAGGCGTATGACTGTATGTGGAGGGATGGGTTACTGATCAAATTGAGTAGAATGGGTATTGGAGGGAGAATGTACAATTGGGTAAGGGCCTTTTTAACAGACAGGACATTTAGAGTAAAGGTTGGAGCAGATATTTCCAACTATTTTGAAATAGAAAATGGTATCCCCCAAGGGAGTGCAGTCAGTCCAATATTATTTAACATCATGATCAATGATATATTTACATGTTTAGACACATGCATTCAATCGGCTCTATACGCAGATGATGGGGCTATTTGGATGAGGGGAAGAAATGCCCCATACGTAATGGAGAATATAGCTAGAGCGATTAAAAAAGTGGAGAGGTGGTCATATAACTGGGGATTCAAAATGTCAGAAAGCAAGTCATGCTACATGGTATTCACAAACAAACGCAAGATTGATGGCCAACAGCTAACACTATATGATCGTCCAATGACAAAGGTGAATGAATTCAAATACCTAGGACTGTGGTTTGATAGCAAATATACATGGAAAATGCATATTAAACAAGTGGAAACAAAATGCAAAAAAGTATTACATTTATTGCGAGCTGTAGCTGGATGCAACTGGGGCGCAGACAAACAAGCATTAATAGACATTTACAGATCAATTATGAGGTCCACAATAGATTATGGTTGTATAGTGTATGGAGCAGCAGCAAAAACATCGCTTTTAAAAATTGATAGAATACAATATAAAGCATTGCGGTTGTGTATTGGAGCGATAAAGTCATCCCCTATCAATGCAGTTCTGATAGAAGCAGGAGAGACACCTCTGGAGATCAGAAGAGAGAAACTTGCTCTGTCATACTGGGTCAGGCTACAAGGAAGTGGAGAAGAAAATATTTCAAACAGAATATTACAGGATTGCTGGGAATATGCAAAATTCCAGGGACGTGGGTTTGGCTGGACGAGTAAGGAGAGAACGAGGGCATATGGAGTGGAGAATATCACATTTGCTAAAGCAACCCCATTTAGCAGTGTTCCCCCATGGCTTTTCCCAGAAGCTAAAATAGATATGAGTATTGTAGAAAGGAAAAAAGAGTGGCAAGTAAATGAAGTGGGAATTAAAACAAGTATGTATCTGAATGAAAAGTATTACAATTGCCTACAAATTTACACAGATGGTTCTAAGAACAAGGAAGAGTGTGTTGGAATTGGTATATACATCCCAGAATTTAAAATATCTATTTCAAAAAGAGCGTCTGATCAATTATCAGTGTACACAGCAGAAATGCTGGCAGTAATAATAGGATTACAGTGGGTTGAAGAGGTCAGACCAGATAGGGTGGTGATGTGCACAGATTCATTGTCCATATTACAAAGCATACAATCAACAACAACTGCCAGAGAAGACATTCTCATAGAACTGAATCATAGCCTGTTAAGACTGCACAGAGGCGGCATAGATCTGCAGTTCTGCTGGGTGCCTGCACATGAGGGGGTGAAAGGGAACGAGTGTGCTGATAAATTAGCAAAAAGTGCACTACAAAAGGAAATAACATTACCAGTTCAACTTGGTAAAGGAGAAGGAAAAGCAGTAATTAAGAAGAAAGGGATGGAGATCTGGCAGAAAAGGTGGGAGAAAGACCAGAAAGGCAAAGAATATCACAAAGTACAAAAGACAATTACAATTCATATTTATAAAGAAAGAAACAGAAGGGAGGAAATCACGATCGCTAGACTCAGAATAAATCACACAGCATTGAATGGTACGCTGTATGTCATGGGGAAAAGTGACAGTGACAAGTGTGGGAGCTGTGGAGTAAAAGAAGATGTAGAACAGGGGTTTTCAAAGTGTGGGAAGGTGAGCCTCCCCTCAGAGAACATAAGAACAGTCGCGCCCCCCTCACAATTATTATTGCTATTATTATTATTATTATTATTGTTGTTGCTATAATGCAGGGGTATTATTATCCAGTGGAATGCCCTTACCTACTGGCCTAGTTAAATCAAAGTGGTTACTTATTTTTGTCTGGGCAGTGTAGTTTTACACACCATCTTATTTGACTTTCTCAGGGCAGACCCCCACAAAGAAAAAAATATATGTACACACGTAAGGTCATCATCTTAACAGTTTTTTATGCTCGAGTCATCCGTGAGCAGAGCATCAAGTTGGCATGCCTATTACAGCTGAATGCGGCGATTACCATCTTGTTCAGCAAAACGCCTCACAAAGTATTAAGATCCAAAGCTTTAGTGCGTTTTGATTCAATGCTGAGTACAGCCAAACTTGACAGTCTCTTCTCTGTCATTGTAGACCGCAAATACCTTATTCCTTCCGTGTACTTGGGTCCGAATGCTTCTCGTTTTCTGCCGCCCGTTCAATTGAAATCGCCGCCAATCACATTTCTTCGCTCGCGCCAGGGTTACAAGGCTCGCGTCTTGTGCTGCATTCACTTGCACTCGGACATCAGGGATTTTCTCTGATAAATGTCCGATGAGCCACAACTTTTATTTCAAAACAAAGCTGCCAACTGGGGTGGCCAGACGCTGTCTCCTCTCTCACTTTAGGTAACTTCACTAAAAATCGATCCATGTTGCCGCTCGCATAAAGTTAGCTGAAGTTAACGAGCTAGATTTCACTGTTTCTCTTTATTTTTTTCTCACGCTGCGCCTCCCCTGAAGCTCTCTGGCGCCCCCCAGGGGAGGCGCGCCTCACACTTTGAAAACCGCTGATGTAGAACATATCTTGATACATTGTGACATATATAAAGCGGAAAGAGAAAAACTAAAGGCTAAAGTTTTAGAGGCAGAGAGGGAATGGAGTGTGGTTGGTATTTTGGGAACAAAAGGAGAGGGAGTAAGAGCTACCAGAAAGGCACTGTTTACATTCTTGAGTGAAACTGGGGTAGGAAAAAGAATTTAACATTAGGTCAAGAAAGAACATAGATTTTTATTTTTGTTTTATTTATTTCATGTTTTGTTTTTTGTTTTTTGTTGATTTATTTATTTATTTTGATTAGATCATAGGTTAAAGAGTTGGTATGATATGATGATTCATACTCATGTACAGTAGGTGGCGGTATGCACCTTTTAAGTTGTTTGCAATCCGCCAAAAAACGAAGAGAAGAAGAAGAAGATGAAACAGGAAACTGGAGAAATACGTCGCTATGGTAACGGTTGAAACTCTGCAAAGATCAGCTTGTTAGCAACAGTCTGACCTTTTTCCTCTCTCTTTTCGTACCAAGACTCATATTATCGACATGCGATGGAGGGGTCGGATACATACCTCATAAGACCTAATCATCAGTACAAGTGAGTCGGTTAAGTAGTTTAAGATGAGTTATTACAGATGAAGTTAGCTTTGAGCCAGCGTGTCCATTGCTAACGATATGGTTTGTTAGCTTCTTTAGCCACTAACTTTAGGGTATGGCTAGTGGCTGGATTGCCATTTTAAAACTTACCGTTAAGAATGAACCTAAATAACGTTATGTTTACGTTTTCAATGCTGTAGTAAATGAACGAAGGTCACACAACCCAGCATTAGGTTTAGGGACAATGTTAGAAAAGTAGCCCAGTGTTGGGAAGTTAGCATGTGGTAATACACTTGCCTGCTTTACCATTAACCTGGGGTAAAGAATGCACTCAATATAAAACAAAATAAGAATTGAAAGTATAATACAAAGTTCTGTATCAAATTACGTATATAAGTAAGTATATCAAAGAGAGCTCACTCAGTTGTGGTAACCAACAGTACAATGCACACAGAGGACCCATTCAAGATAGAGGGGAACTGACACCTGTCCAACTAATAGTCCACACTTATTATTTTTCCCCAACTGGGACTTGAACCGATGAACCTTTTGTTAGCAAGCCAAGTCCCTACAGACTGAGCCACTGCCGCCCATTTCATAACTCTGTGACCCATACTTTAACTGCTGTTGTGTTGTGTCCACTGTGACCTGTGTAAGCGGATTGAAGTTAACTTGCTGCCTTGTTGCTCTCTGTTTATCTCCCAGGTTTAAGCCAGCCATTGTGAAGGAATGTATTCGAGAAATTGTGAGGGAGCGCCTGTCTGGGATGCGTTATGACCCAGAGGAAGTCCCCGAGCTGTCTCGCTCACTGGCAGACTGCATTAAGGATAAAGTAAAGAGTGAGTCATGCTTTCTCCCTCTCTTTTATGTAGCCAGAACAGTTATGTTACCCTTCCAAATAATCAACAACATAACATTTCTCCCATAAAAAATAAGTCATCGTTGTATTTTTTTTATTTGAGTATGCATTTCTGTATTGTCGCTGCAAAATGTTCAATTATTACAGATCAGTTCTCTTCAACAGATGCAGGATTTGACAGATATAAGCTTGTCGTGCAGGTGGTCATTGGAGAACAACGAGGACAAGGAGTCAAGTAAGTGATCGTTTGATTATGGAAAACTAAAATAAAAGCTGTGACACTGTAAAATACAATATTTTAGTGGGATACTTTCTCTAACTTTGGGCCTCCTGTGATAGGCACACAATTGAAGCAAATTATTACAGGAAATGTATGTGCATGTAATGTGTAGTTTTTCAATGCTCAAGCTGCAATTGAAGCCAAAAGACCAGCAATGTAATAGCACTATCTTTCTCAGACTGTAATCTTAAATTAATGCAGTTGCATTTTGCTTGAATATTAGTTTTCACCGTATTTTTACATTACACAACAACAACATTTGCAACTAATTGACACAGGAGCTTTAACCTTCTTTCTTGTTTCTTCATACCATTACACAATGGCATTATTTAATCAATAGTAGAAGAAGCTAAAAGCTGTTATTGACTCAGCTCAGCTTTTCTTTTATACCATCTATGTTGGTTATTATAGAACATTTATTTATATTTACAAAATATTGTAGTTATGAAGGTATTCGAGGTAAACTTAAAATGAATCCCACAATGTTGATTAAAATAATAAAATCTACAGAGTTGGAATTTCCCTCTGACTTATTCTCAGCAAAAATTGTATATTGTGAAAAACTATAAAAATAGTCTTGCTTAAAGGGGTATTTTTTGGAAAATTGCAGAAAGTAGTTCAGACCTATAAAAAATGAATCCATGACCGTGTCCTGTTTTTTTACCAGGATGTCTTCAAGGTGTTTATGGGATGCTGACACAGACAACTATGCAGAAGATGTTTTCATAAACGTAGGTGCCTTTGTCACATTCAGATGTTGGGTGGGAAAATCATATTTCTTTAGTTTTATTTCAACATACTTCAATTAACTGTGTTTTACCTTTGGGTACAGGACAGCTTGTTCTGTGTGGCGGCAGTTTTTGGGAGTTATTACTACTGAAGACAAGAGGATGGATGACAGAATTCTTTCAGATGAAGAGAAAAGGTGAAAATCCAAACGATAGTGCTCACTGTAAGCACTTCTGGTCTACAGTGCGTTGATCTGATTTAACTGTAAGTGCTGCATCTTGAGACAGCTAGCATCAAGAGTGGAAGTGATGGATCTCTGTGCTGATACTGTGGAAACTCAAAAATGAAGGATTTCACCAGTATTTCCTGACTGGGTTAAGATGATGAAGACTGAATAGTTTTTTTCTTGGAAGGATTAACAGACTGAAGGTCTTATTTTCTTGGAAACATTATTAGTGTTCGTTCGGTAGACCTGCTGGATCCAATGTATCCAATGTACTGCAGTACAGTTCGTATTTGTGCTACACTTATTGACATCATTTTTGGTAATAAAAATAAATAAATGCCAGTTCAAATAAACTATTAAACATTTGAACGGATGCCATCATTAATATTCTGCACCACATTGTCAAATATATGTTAATGGTAAAACATTTCAAACTCACCACTGGCCAGTGACATCAGCTGGTAGTCATGCTCTCATACCGAAGCCTTCTGGGTGAAGGCCGTCTGATGAGTCAAATATGCATTGTTATTCATTGCACATAGTGGTTCTGCTCCCAGGTCTCCCATATATATATATATATATATCTTTGGAGCTTCCTTTTGTTCCTCTGCCTGATTTCTCATCTGGCTCTACTCTCAATGAGTCGTTCAACCTTCTCCAATCAGTCCCTTTATCTCTTTGTGTCATGCAATCTGTCATCAGGGTTTCAGTCAGGGAGTGATTTTAAAACTGTTCATCAATAATAGCTGATTAGCTCATGCAAGCTCAACTTCTACCACCGCTAACAAAACTGCTGATTCCCTCTCAGTCAAGCCCCTAGGCGGCAGTGAGACACAATTTAATCCTTCACTGGCAGCAGTGTGATTCCAAAACCTACTCGGACAACTGCAAGAGAAGACTGCATATTTGCCCCATTTAAAATTGCCTTAATCTATTTTTCTCTGTTGTAGTTTGTAGTGCTTTTACTAATTTCACTTTCAGTATGTGCAACTACTGCCGGTTATCTTCTTATCAAAGACAAATTAGTCCAATAGTGAAGCTTCCCTGTAATTTGTTGGTGAAATTGATGTCGGTCTGCAATACATATCAGATATTCTTATGTTTTTCTAGTTGCTCTTGGTGTTTTCAATTATTTTCAGAAAACCAGCAGCCAGCTAGAAAACTAGATGCTTTTTAGTCTATATATAAAGACTAATGACACAAAAGTGATCAAGCTTAGCTGATAGTTGAATGACTCATCCTGTGATGTACGTGCCAAATGTTGCCCCTCTATTTCTGTTTGCAAAGCTGAACTGTAAATGAACTTTTAGAAGCTTAAATAATCAAAAGTATGCTTGGGCCATGCATATTACTACTAAAAAATATTTTGTATAAAAATGTATTCAAATCTAAGAATATGTTGCTTTTCATATACAAAACCTACACAAACATACAATTTAATGAGAATGAAGTATTTTCCTTTTATAACTATTTTCTTTCTTATGGATGTATCCATATCTGTTATAATAAACTGTGATAAACAAGGTCCTCTTGCAGATAAATGTTTACTGAAAATGAATTACACAATATATATTATACAAACATTGGCTCCTATTTAAATATGTATTCAATTCAGAATACTGTGGACTTAGTTAACTTATTTCAAACAACAGAGGCTGTACATTGTAGCCTCACACTGCTTCTCTTTCTGCAGAGCCTGAATTCTCTCTGCAGTCGGTTGCTCAGCACCTCTTTATAATTTCAGCAAAGGTTTTCATGTTGTTTTCTCATGTGACTGCAGGGTGACAGATGTTGATTGTTGGGTGTTTGCCACTCGGAGCAGTGATCTTGGCAACTTCAGCATATCATATTATACTGTGCACTCTGTTCCCTACAGTCTGTTATGCAATGTTATGGTGATTTAGACTACATATATGGACAATATTGTCACTCGATTTGCCTAAGTGGGTGAAAAAATAACAAATTTGCTTCACTCAAAGTGGATTTTGTTTTTTCGGGTGCATTTAGAGTAGGTTTTTTAATCAGATGAGTGAACGGTGAATGACAATCAAATGGATGTTTTAAATCAGCTCGGTTTGCAGAAACTAAAACAAAAACACCCCACTCTGGATCTGGTGGCTGCTCATTTTCCATAATTTCTCCTTGTCAACAAATCCATTCAAAATACCAAAACCGTACATAGACAAGTATTTTCTGTGTAGCCAAAGCCTTTTTTGGAGCATGTGTCCAGGCATTATAAATTCTACCTTTTTAAATTGTATATCTTCCTAACGGGCTTATGAGAGCCATGGATATAAAATAGCTTAGAAAGTTATATTGTTGGCTTATATGCTTACAAATATGCTTCATTTAAAGCCTTTACGTTGCTTTACATCTTAAGTCCATAAGTATTCCTGCCTATTCTCATGTGCAGCGATTAACTTCCAGGTACTGTATATAGATTTATTTCCAGCACTAAATGTGAAGCTGAGTGATGTTCAGGGGAATATTCGCTGATTAAAATCAAAAGGCTTGTTAACTTTAATGTTCTTATTTGATATGGACCTTTCATCACTTACAAAAACAACCCCCCCCCCATTGCAGAGGCTCATTACAAAACACTCTTGGAAGCCTTCAGAGATTCCTCTTCAAATTGACTCATATTGAACATGAGTGTGATATGAAAGACGTTTTTCTTTTTTTCCTACATTTACATGGACTTTCATCAGGCCATGTGGGACTGTAGTAATTGTCAAAGAAACAACCTGCTGAAGTCATATTCAGTTTATGCATGCTGTTAATGTGTTTTTCTGTTTTAGAGTTGGTTTTATGGATAAAGTTTATAGCATATGTTTGTAGGAATGTGGTCTTGTGTACATAAAGAAAAGCTTAAATAATTTGCTACTAAACGTTAATTGTGTGTGTGTGTTACAGATTTATTTCCATGAGTATCAAGATTCGCAGGCAGGTGTTTTTTAATTCATGAACATGGATCTTCTGGGTCGGATGCAAAGTTTCCTGTTGGATGTTTTTCTCCCATTGACGCCACTCCTTTTGAAAATGTGCATATAACAAGGGCTATTCAACAAAGAAGACAGCAGCAGAAAAAAAGGGCTAGCTTTGGTCTTGTTACAATATAAATCAGATCAGTTTGTTGTATATAATTTGTCTTTATGCTGATACTTAATAAGATTTTGACCTTGAAATTATCAATCTGGATCTTTGGCAAATGTGGTACTTTAAAGGGGACCTATCATGCAAAATGCACTTTTGTACGTCTTTTATACATGAATATGTGTCCCCGGTGTTCCAGGGAACTCACCAAGTGTCAGAAAACACAACCCTCTCTATTTTCCTCCATACCCAAATCTCTAAAAAAGGGGCTGCAACGGATCTGATAAAAACTGATCCAGATTTGAACACTGTCCTGATGTCAGGACGGTGGCGCTACGGCTATTGGGCCAACTCCACCAATCAGGAGGAGACAGCCACGGCCATTGCCGTTCGAAAGCGCTGGAGACGCTGTAGTACATATGCCAGGCCTGTAGGTGGTGCTGTTCTCACAGAATCAGCCCTTGCAAAAACAGAGCTAAAAAAGTGCAAATTGAGCGAAATGAGGCATGGCTAAAATGCATGATCTGTTTGGTATTTTGAAAAAAAAAAAGTATAAATATGCCTTATATAGGTATGGTCCTACACTATATTATTCAAATATAGCATGATTGGTCCACTTTAAGTAAGCTGGTATCTGCTACGATGCATCAACAACAAAACATACAGTATGCAGCTAATGTGGGTGACCTATTATGCAAAATCCACTTTCATGTCTTTTATACATAAACATGTGTCCCCTCTGTGTAAAGAGATTCTGAAAGTTACAGGAAAAAATATTCGCTCACTTTTTGTCCTGATCCATTTATATAAAAACCTTTCTGAAAATGAGCTGATCAGATTTTGGCCACTTTGTGATGTCATCACGATTTTTTGGCTTGTGTAACCATTAGCCAATCACCAACCAAGGTAACATATCACTTGAATCTCCTCCTAGAGCACCATTGTGTTCTTTTTAACCAAATATCTCTCAGAGGGGCGTTGGGAGGGGCTCCTTATTTTCATCTAAAGTAACAGACAGAGAATCAGCACTTTTGAAACGGGGCTGAAACAGAGGGGATTATGGGATACTACAATGAGTGATCTGTTTCGAGCCAAACACTTCAGAGACATGTTTTGTATATATCTGAGACCTATAATATATTGATGAAAAACAGTATAATAGGGCACCTTTAAAACACAATTCCAACGCTTGATCAGAATATAATCTTTCACCTTCCATTTAGGTTTTGAATAAACTTAGTACATAAAAAGTGCATACAACTGACATTAAGTTCAGGGTCGTATAGCCATACTGTAGATTCATACTTTAGGGGGAAGTGGAAAGAGAAACATTGACGAATATAGGGAGGTGGAATGTGAGTCCACCAATCATCAGTGCAAATCTCAAAATACCGGCTTTATGTCATGTCTTGTCAAAGGAATCATTTAAATAGGCAACATGTAATTAGAATAAAAATGTATACGTCTGTCTCCTTTCTCATTACTCAGAACAGTGCAATCTAACCTCTAAGTACATTAATAAAACAGCTCTAATTACCGGACTGTAGAATTTGCGTGAATGCATACTGTAGCAGTCAGTGATTAGCATCATTTCCAGGCATGGCTATTAGGAACTGATGGTAAGTATAATTACAGATGCTTAATAATATGTTGAATCCAATGGTTTCTGACCAAGGCAGGCTACAAAAAATGTCTTGGTTCTCATATGTCATAGATTGTGGGTTGGTAGGCACTCCATATTCCCAAATGAATGTGCACATGCTCTGAATAGGAGGGTTTTCATTCAGTGTTGCCATGGGTGTCCCCCATCAATAAATAGATTGATCTTTCTTTCTTTCTACACAGTGCTTTTCAACTAATTAATGAGTCACCATATGAAGCATCACTGCGTTTGAGCTTTCTGAACTGAATTAGCCTTTTATTTATTAAAGTGAAACAAGCATATAAAATGAAAAGCCTTACTCCTTTTCAGGATTGGATGCCAAAATAACGTTAATCTCAAAAGTCGATGTGGTTAAGCACTTAGTCGTCATAGATGGTGAGCTCCAGAACAAGAGTGCTCTCGGGTAAAATAAAGTTAAGAGTGGTATGATGAAACGAAAATCTGTCAACGTATTTTCCACCTTGTTTTCATTTAAGGACTCGGACTCCAACAAAATGCTAGTTTCAGCTAAATGAAGCTCAGCATAAGTTCAATCAGGAAGACCAAGCTCTTCATTCAGATTACACGTCACCTCACTACACTCTCCTTCCTCATTAAGTGATCGGGGGCGTCACTCCCCAGCTAACCAATCTCTCCTCTCTCACAAGCCTATCATAGCTCCCGCTAATCCCTTTATATCTGCTCTTCCCTCTGTCAGCTGTCATTCCAGGTGACAAAACGCAACCCTCCTCCACCCCTTTCGCCTCCCGTCTCCTTCAGGACCAAGCTAAACCTTCTCCCTGCAGTCCGTTCCCACCTACTTACACCACCACCAGTGTCTAGACCCCGGGGGGTTTCATCGGAGCGGTTCTTCCCCCTCCTGAATGATTATCCTGCAAACTGGGGCCTAATCGCCAAACACCATTCCATTCTCCTGTTATAATTATGGCAATCATTATTACATTCATATCATGTGTCCCGGTAATAAACATGTATTCCATACATCAACGTCTCTCCTGATTGAACTGAGGTTCATATTCTCTGATGTGACTAAATAAGACATCGCCACAGAGTTTTCAGTTAAGTTTGCACCTTTCAGATGGGTTGAGGTGAAGGCTGTGTGTCTGCATCCACAATCTACTCATGGTCTCTGTTAAGAGTTGTGTCTGAGCATTAATGAGGCTTTATTTTCCAATCTTCACCTTATCCCCCATGGCAAGATGGCTACAGTATGAGATGATCACTGGCTGTTATTTACAAGAGGAGTGTTTCAGTGGTATCCAATATTGCCCCCAGAGACATTAGCAAAGCCTGATTATCTTGGCACCTACTAAAGTTTGAACTTTCTTCTTGCACAATTCTTTGGCTTGGGTTTTTATTTCAAAAGGTTTAAGATATTTGACAGAAATGTTAGTTATCATATAAACTTGTGTAAGTAAATCTGTTAAACCGTGTTGGGATACTGTCATTTGTTTTTTGAACAGCTTCCACTCTCTATTCAACGCTTTGTTAACTGTCTACCTTATAAAGAATCTACAAACGAGCGAGATTTTATTTTTTTACTCTCCGCAAGAAAGCAATTATCTGTATTTCGTTGAATTGAAGTATCACATTTGCGATGTAAGGCAATAGATGAAGTCCATTCCAATGTTAATACTGTAGGTAGATGGTAATGTGGTCTGATAATACTGACGTAATGTTCATTGTGCAGTCATATTAAAGAAGAGGGATTTAGTGTTTCGTTTGATCTTTTATATCTGATTAGAATTCAAGCTCTTACCACTCTGAAATTTCATATTCTTTTTTTGATTGAGAGGGTGCTGAACCTCTCACAAGGACAAAAGGTGTCATTTGAAACCTCGAGGAAATCACACAACGCTACCACTTCCAGTCAAGTGTCCTTATTATTCACCTTGGAAGGAAAAGAAGACAATCAGTGACTTTAACATGGATATTTGTGCCATGTGTGTGTGTGTGTGTGAGGGGGTTAATGAGCAATAGCAATGTAGGAGGACACGTGCACCAGTGCAGGTGCAGTTTAGGGTTTCGCTTTGTCTTTGCAAGCTTATGGTAAAGGGTGACATCAACAGTATAAAACTATAGTATTAAATCACAACTTTTTTTTTACTGGTTTGTTCTCATTATAGCTTTTTCTTTAATTGCTGTGTTTAATGAAACATGTAATGCCCTCATAAATGTCCTCTGGAACAGTGCAAGAATATTGTTTAATTAAGATAAATTAAGATAATCTTTTGCAAATATTCTGGTGCTTAATGTAAGCATAGCTTTAGAAAGATTTTCATACTGGTGTGCCTTTAAAAAATTATAATAATTTATCATAATTGAAAAAGGCAGCATTTCCTGCATCCTATAAGTACGCAAATTACTTTAGTTAGGAAACAAGAATATTTCAAAGTTTAAAGTGACATGTATTGAACGGCAACAAAAAACAATAGAAGAAAAATAATTGAAAAACATATTATTTTCCTTTGTGATGGACAATAAAAAGCATTACGAAATGTATAGAAGATATTTATTTGACACAAACACATATGCAAACTGTGCACTGGGCTGACAAACATTTTGTATAGCATACATTATATATTCTTAATGCCCAAACACTTTGATATTACACTTTAGCACATTTCGGCTCACACATTACATTACAATAACAGTAGCAGTATAATAAAGAAATTACGTTTTGCACCATTGTATTGACATTCCTGTACTGTTTTTTAAAACAAGTCCATAACATTTGAACATTTCTTGTTGGCATGGAACAACTTTTGGATTCATTTTTTCCACCTGATACTTTTCAACTTGACTAATTCCAGGATTTTTGTAATAACATATAAAACAGAAGATCCTTAAAAGCAGCACTAAATAGTTTGATAACATATAGGATCTATATTTACATTCATAGCTGTATCCATCTTTCTGATTCATAGCTTAAAGTGGCTGCAACACACACATGTGGCACGATACCAACACATGTGTTGGCATGGCCGTCATGTGTGTTGCAGGCATGAGTGTTCAGGGTGTAGAAGGAAAGGGATCAGGTTCAGGCTAAATCATAAGCCCTGCAAAGTAGTTTACATCAGAGCGGCCTTTCTTCATGCCGGTCAACAAGCAATTATTTTCCAGTGCTCTTCACTCTCTCTCTCTCTCTCAAAGGATAATTTGCTCAAATACCAGTTGTGACAAGTCTCTCCTTCCTGTCTATATGCTATCCTGTATTATTTCAGAGAGCTTGAGTATTGATATAAGCCTGCCCAGGCATTTTTTAAATAGTAGTAATCTGCTTTTAAAGTTTTCAAAGGAGAATAGTTCATTCAGGCCTCAATAAGACAGAGCACTTTTAATCAGCTCGCAACCCCTGATATTGTTTTCAACTAGTGAGGCTTTAAGCTTTCTGTTTCTGCATCACTGAGCGTCTGGTACTAATCTGTGAGTTTAGCTAAAATAAAGGTTAGGTAAGGTGATGTTGTGGTTGCAACACAACAACAACACAAAATAACGAGCAGAAAGCATAACCTTTTGCAAAATGATCGGGTCCTAACACTGCAGCCTGACAGCTCCGGCTTTTCTGTTTTTCCACTCAGACTCTGTTTTTGGTAGTTGGTAGCTAATGCACCTCAAAGTGGATGACAGATCGATGCAGTGGATCAGAACACAATAGCATGCCATCCACAGCAATTCATCCCCATTCACACCCCCTTTAAGTTGTTTTTAACACGAAAAAGAAGTTTCACCTTTTATCCTCACTTCTCCATCTTCTGCCTCGGCTTCAATGACAGCAGCTCCACTGTTCAGCGGAGCGTCACTCAGGGTGCTGCGGAGCGTCACACGGGTGACACTGAGTGAGTGTTTTCTGGGAATTATGTCGTGGGGCCGATGACACATGACCTCTTTGAACATTTCTCTAAAACGTGTGGACATGAGGTTGTACAGGATCGGGTTGACGGCCGAACTGAGGTAGAAAAACACTCCGGAGATGATGTGTACGTACTGAAAGATGTGCAGGTGGTTGTCAGTCCAGTTATTGATGAAACTCCACATGAGACGGTCAGTGTGAAACGGGGCCCAGCAGATCCCGAAAACCACCACTAAAACAACTGAAAGGACAGAAAGAGAGGAGGACACAATGGGAGTCATGGGGAGGGGAGATTTCAATAGCAGTACATTGATTGAAGCCAACATGCTATCTATTAAATTGTCCCTCTGGGGGCTGTGTGTCAACGATGCAGAGACTATCTTGCCTGGCTGACAGCTGTCGATTTTTGTAGAATTTAGAATTTGTAGGAGATCTCTCAAGATTGTTTGTAAATGCAGCCCCTGATCTTTAAAAACCCTTCACTATTGGTCTCCACCTAGTTTTGTTTGGCAGTGGCTGGCTCCACATATTAGCATTCTTGTGTTGGGAAAAATCCCTCTGACTTGTTTGTGTTTAAAAAATAAACAAAAATGAGGACAATGCCTTGTGAGATACATGGCCAATTGCCGACTTTTTCCAACAATGTACATCCAGTGAGCCAGACTAGTATCGGCCTAAAAACTCTATCGATTAGGACTCTTAGTATTTCATAAACATTTCTGCTTACAGGTCAGCTAGGCACATAACTCTGGTTAGTATTAAGGTACAAACTATTTTGATACTCACACAACATTTTAGTGACCTGCCGGCGACGGGCCTTCTGCTGCTGTGTCCGAATGTTACAGAAGCTGTCCTGTCCAAAGACTGTCTTCGCCTCCAGTGTGTGACACATCTTCTCCCGCTTAAGCTGCAGCCCAATGAGCGTGTAGAGAACGCTGATAGTGAGCATGGGCAGGAAGAAAAATAGGAAGGTGGTCACCTGGATGGTCAGGTTGTACATCCAGGGCGGTTTCACTAGAGTACACATGGCTGAGTCGGGGAACTCTCTTGTTATGTTCCCAGCAGGACCGGTGAATTGAGTATGAAGGATGTCGATCCCATGTAGACTTGTGTTTGGTAAAGCACACAACACAGACACCCCCCAAACCGTAAGGATGACCCTCTTAGCATGGGTGCGTGTTACAACATATTTTGCCCGTAGTGGGTGCACCACAGCGATGTAACGCTCTACGCTCAGCGCTGTTACGTTCAGGATAGATGCCAGGCAAACAGTCTCAAATAGGAACGTTTTAAAGTAGCAGCCACCCTTCCCCAGGAGGGAGGGGTAGTTCTGCCACAGCTCATACAGCTCTAATGGCATACCGAGCAGCAGCACCAGCAGGTCGGACACTGCCAGGCTGAACAGGTAGTAATTTGTTGGCGTCCACATGACTTTGTTGCGTGCGATGACAGTGCATGTCAGCACATTCCCCATGACACCTACCAGGAAAATGAACAGGTACGTGAGGCAGACAGGGAGGAACACAGATGATCGACGAGGCCCTAAATACTTCTCCAGGTAGCTTTCGTCCGACAGACAGGCATCATCCAGTTCAATATGGCTGCCGTTTGCATCAGAGGTCAGATTGACACACTTTTCCCCCAGAGGACAAAGCCATCCGCCTTTTTCAGCCATTACATCAAAAGAGCAGTTAAAGGCTGCCATTTCTCTGCAGTAATCAGAAAAGGTATCTGAGAGAAGAAAAGATCAAACAGACATCAGTATGAAATGCCATTTTAAATCATTTGAACACACACGAGAATAAAGGTTAAGATTATAACATTTCTAATCGTAGTTGAAAATAAATCAAAGTTTTGTCGATTACAAGGAAGTAGTTGTTTCACATCATGACATTTATCTTTCTTCATCATGTTTCCCGAACGATTAGATTAGCTATGACTGCATTTTCTGCTAATGAGTTATGAATTGACTTTGACAGTGAAAAGAAGACCGACTTATTAGATAAGCTTGAATTGCCATCTGTTTCCTGCCGTTGTAGTAGAGCAAAAAAAAAAACACAATCTTTGTCTTGGTGCTTCAATAAATAAATATAAGCACATCTTATTATTTCAGTAGAGTTCAATAATTCATGAGAGGGATACATATTTTAGTGACAGCTAGTACTCATGTTTTATTATATATGAATTTCTACTATTAGGGTGAAAGGGGACATTGATAGTGACAAACTAACCAATAATTAACAACCTACTCAAAGCGTTCTTGAATCTATCAGCCTATTGATTTAGTTTTTATGGCCAATAAATGTACTGGTATGGTTTTAATGTGACCACTCTAATTAAAGCCACTTCCAGCTGCACTGAGCAGGTGTTTTCAGAAAAAAAAGCTCTTTACTCTACTTTCTCCACACCAAGCAGCAGACAGAGTCAGCAACTAGCTAGTGAACATTGTAGTGCGTTCAGCTGCCAGTGAGCCAGATGTTGTTTCCATGTACTGTTGCATAAAGTACGCATACAATTTGCAATTCATGTATCTTTAATACAAAAGCATGCTGCAGTGCATTCTGCAAAATGCGACCAGATGCAGTAGAATATCCCCGTAAAGCTGGCATATTGCATTTAGCATACTATGTACTGTGGCATACTAAATATTTTTCTGGCATAATAAATAGCAAGGTAGTATGTGTATTGGACTAAGTAAGTCCCAATGGTATACATACTGCCAGTGGTTGGGTATCATTTCTTGGTGACAGGCTTGTAAAATGTATATCATCATTGATGTGAAATCTATTATTCATGATAATAAGGCATAGTTGATATTATTTGATTTCATTCATTGATTAACATAAAGAACAAACCAATAGTGTATGCTTTTATAAAGGACTGTAGAGAAAAGACGAATAAACCATTTTGTCACACATGAAGCAGACAATTGAAGGAGAGGCAATGCGCTGTGAATAACTTTCATGCTAGACCTCCCTCAGTGTTCTCATTCGTCAAAATGATTGACAGCCTTCAGATTTTCACATCAAAGAAAATCTGTCAATGATGGAAAATATTCATGAAACATCCATTTTCATACGGGTGCAAAGCTCTGCACTTTGTAATGGAAGCTGCACCATATACTAAGAGTAAAGAGAAAACAGATGGGATTTGGAACACAGCCAATGTAAGGGTACAAAATCACATTCAATTGAATCACAAATATGTACTGTATTTTAAGTATTATTTAAAGGGGGTTGGTAGGCTGGGCTTTTCAGTTTGACCAAAAGCTACTCAAATAGGCATGCAAATGTTTTGGGACTGCTTTTGATCTACAGTAGGATAAATACACATTGGCAGCCCCAGTGGTTGTCTGGTTAAAGGAACATGTCCACATTGAGTTTAATAGTTGAATTTATTTGAGCGGTCCAATCATTTTACTGGCAATAGCACAGGGAAATGGGGATAATACACAGGGGCATGCTTTGTCGCAAAAGCACTTACAATTCGAAAAAAAGGTCTAATCTGACTTTTATCCCATTACCATGATCCTCTAACAAAAGCGGTGGCTACGGGGGACTCCTTGTGTGAGTCAGTACCTAGTGAAAGGCTCTGTTTCTGTTCTGAGTTGTCTCCCGATTCTATTCACTTTTCAGTGTTTACTCAAAGCCCTGAGTCACTAAATTAAAGTCGCCCACAAGGGTAATAATATTATGTATCATGAGTCATCCGGCTTTCAATTATTTTTTTTTAATCTGGGGAAACTAGCTTTTTCTTGGTGGGGATAGGATAAGATATTGTTGGGCAAATAACAAACCAAATCAAACTGTATTATTGACTCAACACATGAGATATATGACAGGGACCAAGCAATAGATTCTCATTGAAAGCAGTATGTCCTTGAGATGTACTGTACCCCCTGTTCAAAGGAGCACACTTCAGAAAGCACTGATTCCTTATATATTAAGTATTACAAGGCTTTTGAAGTTCCGGTTGAAGGAAAGTTATTGGGTAATACGTTAAAGGGCTTCAGAGTAACATGGACGAGATGAAAGTTAAAAACATCTGTCCTGTGGATAATTCTGTCATTACATGAATGTTTGAATTTAAAACGTTTTTTTGGTATAGATTATTAATGCATTACATGAAAGACATTACATATGAACTTATTTAGCCTCTGTCAGATTTGAGCCGATGCAGGAGAAGTAGGAACTGGTCGATTAGTTGAATGGAAATTTCCAATGATGTTTACAGTTTTCCAAGTGAAAGCCGGGTAATAAGAAAAACAGGAAACACTTTCCTGCAAGTTTAATGACCGACAGTTGAGAAGCAGGAACACACAACAATTTTCTTTGCATTTACATATACGAGTCAAAGGTCTTATCTCTCTACCAGCAGAGAGTTACCGTATTCATCCCTTTTTTTCAAGACAGAACGTGAGTTATAAACTCAATCAGTGGTAGGGCTTGTTGTCAGTGGTGGCATACGCAATGCATTACAACAAAATACATGCAATACACCATTTTCCTATGGTTGTGGAGTGTAGTGTGCCATAAATGATTTATTTGATCATTCACACCATTCATAAAAGCTCACAGTCAACCTTGGGGTGAAGGTTGTAAGAGCATATTACTATATCACTCTGTCCAGTGCATATTCCAAATAATAAAATAATGTGCTTTGTAAAAATTGATTGACTAATGAATATTTCAGCTCTGCACGTTGAAGGATCAGCAGAGGATTTGATTAATTGAGATAACACATTACATATTCTTTATTAGCATTCTGCAAGTCATGTAGGCTACCTCTAATATTTTAGTTCAGTCTTAGTAAGTCTACATTGTATTCTATATTTTAGAGTATGTTAATAATTAAGTAAAACTAGATTAAATATGCCCTCAGTTACAATCATCTATTAGAGCATATCTCTTGATGCTTCTTAATTGCCTAATTGCCGTGATCACCAGAGAGTCATGACTTGCTTTCACTAAAAATGAGTGAAAATAAAGTCACAACACGCTCTGTTCCAAGACTAATTAAAGAAAGTTGCTGTTGTTCTTGTAACTGCTGCATCACCGGTTGGACACAGATGAAAATCTCCAAGATGTTGTGGTAGATTAAACTTTATTGTTCTCTAGTTAAAGATATATCAGCTTTTGTATGGCCATTGAACAGGTTCAATGTTCAAGGTTCTTTATTGTCAAACTAACATAGCTACAGAGTAATTATGTCGTTGAAAATCTTATGTCACAAGCTACAGCACTAACAGCACTAACAGAGCCTCTGCGTATAAAAAACTATATGCAATGTCCTTTCCTGTAAACAAACAACACAAATTCACTTTATTACCAGATTTTGTTCACGTTCACTGCAACTGTGCTGCAGTTATTGACTATGACTTGTAGATGTAGATGCAGTAAAAAGCAGGACATTCTGTTTTCACAAGTCCTGCCTTGAATATATAGCTCATTATAGAGAAAGATATTTGTCATTCGGCTAACTACACAACTGCAGCATCTGTAAAAGCATCTCCTACTCCAACACCAATGAAGTGTCCACTGCTATAAACCCCTTCACATCAGATTCCAGGAAAACTTCAATCACCTTATCCAGAATGCAATACATGTTTTGTTCCCCTAGGAGCCAAGGATGTGATCTGGCAAATGGCTGACTTGTGTATGCTGCTTCACAAAAGGGAAACAAAATTGTGCGAAACCCGAATGTGGAATTGATCTGATGTTTCTTAATGCCGACAAGTCATTTTAAGCTATCACTTTAATAACACCGGAGGCATTTTGCTCCTTCACCTTATGCACTAAAGAGATAGACCATTATGTCTCTTTATTCATGAGCATGCTGCACCTTTCATGACTTCATTTGATTTGTATGATCTATTTTCACAATTATGAGCAATTCTGTGTTTTTGTTCAGTTATTCTGTACTTTTTATTCATAATTGGAATTGTTACAATGTTAAAAGCAGAAGGAGGAAAAGTGAGACTATGAGATAAACTACATACTAATAAGGTCCCATGTGAGTTTAAACTCTGGATATCTTTTTTGATTCATATGATTTTTTTGAACAGGATTTTAAAAAGCAGTATGAAATATGTTTGGATCTTTCTCATTCCTGCATTGACCGTCTGCACAATATAATGTCAAGTGTTTTACGTTGATTACTTTTTCCCCCACAATCCTGTTATGCTAAATGTGGCAGGTGCCTTTTCATGGAGAAACCACTTACAGATGAAGGACTTGTGTCAAATTGAATTATAGTCTCAGTGTTGTTGCCTTAGTAAACCTTATGATGGAATACAATATTACAAAATGTCTGATAACATGCACTGCCCTGATATAAAATATAATCTTAGCAAACTATTTATAAACAATAAATACTACTATATATAATGTTTTGATCATGGCTGTTTCATAAGAGCTGTTTAGAGAATCAATGCATCTTCATTTCATTATAATAACAGTTTTTTCTATGTCATATGTATAAGTAAAAAAACGCTATTATTAAAATAAAATAAAAAAGACAGGTTTACAAAATGATACATTTGTTGGTGGATTTTTAACATAGATAATGGATATAAATAGCTTTCCAAAGAACATAAATCTTCTTACCTCTAAAGTGTTCGCTTGATGTGTTGTCCTATTCCCTGATGTAGAGACAGATAAGTATCTTGAGCGGAGTGTGAACAATGTGCTGCTCTCTCAGTCCACTCTCCTCCTGCTCTGTCGCTCTCTCGTCAAGCGCCGGTCCCCACACACACACACACACACACACACACACACACACACACACACACACACACACACACACACACACACACACACACACACACACACACACACACACACACTCCCTCTCTGATATTCCCCCTCACGTTCACCCTCTCTACACCACACCTTCAAACCTACATTTATAACTGCCCACACTAACTAGTATAATTACTCTTATGTCAATATGGCAATAACAAGATACGTGTCCCTTTCACAAAGGGACAATATACTCTTTCAATGCAATGATACACAAAAAAGTATCAATTAGTATTTAGCTTAAAATATTACAGTACTTTTTTACACAACCTTATTCCATACAGTGTACAAAGTGGAGCTTTCTTTGACACATAGTGTGACTGCTTTGGTTTTGTTTTTGTTTTTTGTGTGGAGGGTTAGAAGGACACTCCTCCACAGTGCTGCAGCCAGATGGCAATTTGTGCTCATGTCTGTTTATCTCCTCGATAAGAGGCAGAAAGATTCAAGGATCATTTATGGTAATTTGTAACACGATGTTGCAGTTGTAGTCCATTTATCCTACACGCAAGATACATGACAGAACAGAACAAATACAGCTATAGTAGTGCTAGCAATGCATTCCTGAACTGCACATTTTTGGAGTCAGCAACAAAAGGAATATAAACACCAAACAATGGTGGATCTTTAATGGAAGATAACATGGCCGTCAGCATCAGAATCTGACATCAGGGAAACACAGTTCTATAACTTTGCTGTTTGATGCAAACACAGTCTGCCTCCACTCATCTCATTCAAGCTTGCTTACTGCCCATCAAGTGCAATAGCGTGACCCTGGAGGCCATGATGAAGGCACACATACTTTTGCTGTATATCTAGTTCTTATTTTCCAGTGAACAGACATCAGCCAGCAGCAGGCTGGGTAGTGGAACAGCCCAGAGTAAAAGAGAACAAACAAAACAATCGATGAACAAAGAGATGATTTGGAACTTATAGCAACTCCTGTTGGTCATCACTTGAAAGGGGTGGAGGGCAGGGTGCGGGGTCGGAGATCTTTTTTAGTTTCTCTTTTGATTCAGCGTTTGTGAAATTGTAATTCAATTTATGGAAAGGTGGGATTCAATTATATTGGATAATTTATTGACTATGTGCTGCAGTTTTGCATCCGTGAGTATTTGCTGCATACTATGCAGTTATGGATGAAGTGAATAATGTCCTCTATCATTGCTTTATAAATGAGACAAATTAATGCATGTAGGCCAAGTTAACAGTCTATGTAATTGTTGTTTTCCTCTCATCAGTAACACAGCATACAGATTTAAAATAACTTATAAATGAGACAATATAGGTGTATTTAGGCAGAGTTACAAAACAAATGTACACTAGAACAATATAAACGTTCATTATACCAAAAACAGGCCTCTTGTTGAAAGCTCATTTAAAAGCTTTTCACTTGTATCAGAACAATTGGCTTTTTCAATATCAGCTTTTGTTATCAGCTTCATGTTGGAGTTGTTTTGGAAAGCGAGAATATGTTTTCAATTTGGGAAAACATCACCCTTTTGTCCTTTCAATTTTAAATTAATATCCTTGAGAGATGAATAATTATCTGCCAGATACGACAAAGTGTGAAGCCAATCATGAGTGAGGGGGGGGGGGGGGCTTCAATTGGTGGGGGAAAGCATGAATGTCATTTTTCAGTTCATACATTCTGGCAAGACCTCTACCTTTGTATCCCAGCCCAATGTCAGTACACAGCTGGTCTAAAATATAAATCCTAAACAAATTATTAGGGTGTACTTCCTGTTTTGATTGGAACAATTAACAAATCCATATGTCCGCATTAAACGCGACCTGTAGCGGTGATGCTCCACATTTATTGTATTGCTGGCTTCATTACAGTTGTCTAATGTTGCACTCTGGTCTTGTTCTCCTTTTTGTTAATTAGCCAAGCTTCCATCTCTTGGCTGGCTGCAGAATATAATCTCTTAGTATGGCTGAAACCTGTGCATGTTAGAAATACCAACAAGCTCCCTTATGTGGCTCAAAGGTGTATATATAACTTCAGAATCCCAAACTGGAAGAAATTCTGCAACTTTGTTCCGTGACCCTGATAAAATCTCCTGCGACCCACCTGTCAGCTGCGACCAGTCTTCGGGAATGTAGTTATTTGCAGAAAGCCAGATAAAGGACCTTTGGTCAGCTTCTGCTGGACCAAACTGGCATCTCTTCCACTCATTATTCATCCATATCACCGGGAGAAAATAATAGTTGTTGGTTGGTTGTTCCTAGAGTCTCTAAAAGTACAATGGGAGCCAGAGCCTTTTCTTATCAAGCTCCACATTTGTGGAATCAGCTTCCAGTTTGTGTTCGGGCGGCAGACACCCTATCCGTTTTTAAGAGTGCGCTTAAGACCTTCCTTTTTGATAAAGCTTATAGTTTGGGCTGATTAGATTCAGCCCCTAGTTTTGCTGCTATAGGCCTAGTTTGTCGGGGGACACCTTACTTCTTCCTTCTCTCTGTCTGTACCTGTGTACTCTCATGTTCTGAATAACCCAGCTTCCCCAAATTTCTTTTTGGTGTCTATCTACGCCGGGATTCTGAGTCGTGGCTGATCCTGTTGCTGTGGTCCTGAGTCCTGGATCGCGAGCCCTGGATCTTGAGTCATGGCTGTGCCTGTTGCTGTGGTCCTGGATCATAAGTCCTGGATGGATATCCTCATGGATTCATCTTATTATTATAGACACATGCATTTCCAAACATTTGGACTACCTATGTTGTAAATGTATTATCTTTTCAATTTACACCCGGCATCTATTGCACGTCTGTCCGTCCCGGGAGAGGGATCCCTCCTCTGTTGCTCTCCCTGAGGTTTCTCCCATTTTCCCCTTTAAACTGTGGGTTTTCTCCGGAAGTTTTTCCTTGTACGATGTGAGGGTCTAAGGACAGAGGGTGTCATATTGTCATACTGATATTCTGTACAAACTGTGAAGTCCACTGAGACAAATGTAACATTTGTGATATTGGGCTATATAAATAAACATTGATTGATTGATTGAATAGCTTCAGATGTTCGTGTGTCATCTTCTCGTGCACCTTGAACAATGGGAAATACGTTCAGACTGTTGCTGTCTCTCTCTTCTATTCATCTACGAATTCCAACCATAGCAATCCAGTAGTGATGGGCAAGTGCATGACATGGGCACCTCAGAAAATAATAACAATTAAAGCTGCAAGCAGCGTTGAGCGGGTCTTCGACGCTCCGCAGGCTGTTGTCCGCACGTCGATGTGTGTGTCTAGGTGTCTCAAGGACTCGGCCGTTGGCAAACGTGGGAAGTTTCAGGCCGATCAGACAACGTACATGGGAGTTACAGCAGTATCATAAACATTGTGTTTGATGGCGAGTGATCTGTCGCCATGGCAACGGAATTTGATGACACCCCATAATACGCCTAGATGTGTTGAGGGCTGCATCGTTATCAAACCTGTGAAGTTTTGGGCCGTTTGGAGCATGTTAACTGGAGTTATGAGAAAACCGTGTTTCACGGCGACCATTTTGTTACCATAGCAACGACATTTGACGAAATCTCAAAACTGACACATATATGTGTCGAGGGCTTGACGGTTAGCACACATGGGAAATTTGAACACTTTTTTACCATTTGCACAGGAGTTATAGCAATATCGTGCTTAACGGCGAGGGATGCGTTGCCATGGCAACAGCTTTTGAGGAAAACTCACTATTGTCATATTGAGGTGTTGAGGGCCGGACTAGTAGCCATCATCTGAAGTCTGGTGCAGTTTGGATCATTTTCCATTGACTTAAGACCAGTGGCGTCGCCTGGCCTGGGCATCCGGGGCTTTAGCCCCAAATGTTTTTTCTCTAGCCCCGGACAATTCTCCCTCAATAATATAATACATTAACCGTGCTTTACGTGAACCTCATCATGACACAAGAGAGGACGGCAGCACTGTAATTTCCCGTGTTCAGTGAATGCAACAGAGGCATGACACCAGACCAATCAGAGAGTTGCATGGAAATAAACGTGTGCTTGTGTCATTCAAGCTCGGCTCTGTGTGTGTGTGGCAATAGCGCATTTATGGCGCGTTTCCACTACCCGGCCTCGCTCGACCCCGCTCGGTATGGCTGGGCCTCGTGAGGACTGGCTCACTTTATGGCGCATTTCCATTACAGTTTAGGAACTGGGGTAGTATCTATAGTAACGCAGTGTAGGCGGAGCCGTGACGTGATCTTCAGCGAACCCCAGAAAAACAACACAGCCGTTAGCTGTTAGCACTCAGAGTTCACAGCTCCTCATATATGTTCAGAAACTAGACAAAAGTGAAACAAGTACAAACCACAGACTGCCTGTGTCATGGTGAATACAGTCGCTGCTTTATTTATGTCTGTATAGGCCGTTGTTGTGAGTGTGGACGGTCGGAGCATATACTGCGTTAGCTTAGCCAATCTCCATTTAGAACACACGCATTTTAAAAGGTTTTTCGCCTGCCGTCTGTCTGCAGACTTGACAAAGCATTAATTCATGGTTTTTACTAACCGGTATCAGTATGTTGTTACTTCGGCATCATTTTGAAACGTGTATTACAATTAAATCACGGTCAAATATGTCCATCTTGTTGTAGTTGTAGCCCCCTTGCCAGTGATGCTCTCTCTAGTTTAGCATACTCAGCCCGACTCAGCCTCGTTGTCTCTGGCCCTAGACCCGCGATTTTATGAGGCCAGAAAAACTGTGAATTAGGACCCGCCGGCCGGTACTAGGCCAAGTGGAAACGCAACCAAAGACGGGCCGCTGACGTCACAGCCCTCTTAAACCGTGCTCCGCGCTGTAGTGGAAACGCGCCATTAGTGTGAGAGAGAGAGAGAGAGAGAGAGAGGGGGAGGGAGGGACCGGTGCCAGCATGGACCGTGTTGTTAGCATCTGGTTTGCTAGCTGCACTAATGGACATAAGGAGCTGTTTCCACAAGAAGC